AAAATATTGATTAAGTTGATTAATGTTTATTTGTGTTGTTTGCAAGCAAGCAACGTAAATCTACTTTAATGTTTGCACAAATTTTGCCTTTGCATTACTTCTTAGGTCTGCTTTAACAGAATGAAATAGATACTATTTGTACGATTTATACAAGTGCAAGAAGATTCATCAGTTAACAGGTTAGTTGATCACCATAGTTATCTGCAATACGACTTTAGCGTCGTCAGATAGGCGACTAACCTTAGAATCTCATGCTAGTATCTATTCATATATACTGCTTGCAGAGATGAAATATGCATTGTACACAAAATTTATCATGTGAAACAAGTAGATTTGAGATTCTCCTTACTAAATTGCAACGAATTGCAATTAAGAAAAGGAATAAAACAGCAAGATTCATGCATATAAATATACAATCCTCTCAAAACAATGCATATATGGTAGTATGCAAGTGTTTTGTTGATTATTTTACATCTCAACTCTCAGACAGATGTGACCTCGGAAAAGACCCGAAAGCCGCAATGTGCGTTGGAAGCTCAAGTGCTCGGCGTGTCCTGCAATTCGCACCGATTATCGTAGCTAGCTACGTTCTTCATCGATTGGTAATTCGAGTGATCCACCGCTTGAAGATGTATCTTTGCCACCGTGGGACTTTTAATAAGTATCCTAAATCTGCATTGAGAGGGTTTGAAAACAATTGTATGCAGTTTATAAAAACCATAGTTGTCTTTACTTAGTTAGGCGAAGAAGTGTAAAACTTCCTTCTTTAAACCTTGCCGTCAGCATAAGCTGAAGACTTGAACAGGTACCAAGTATGTAGCAAGACAGGCTTTTCATTATAAACTACAATTGTTTTGCAAAAAGAAATTATGGCTATCGTTAGATAACCCTCACTCTTTGTTGCATTGGATAATGAAAGATGGATGTATGAATGAACGAATGTAATGCAAGTTAGAATCATGTTGCAATGGCTAAATGTTTGCATTAAACATTCACAATTGCGACTCTAATGCAAATACAATTCAATTGCATTCACCATATTAGCATCTACAATATCACTATGCAGAGTGTTTGATTGTTTGAAGGTTGTATTTCTCTTATAATAAGAGGGTAATACGTTAATGATCCTTCCGCAGGTTCACCTACGGAAACCTTGTTACGACTTTTACTTCCTCTAAATGATCAAGTTTGAACATCTTTCCAGCACAATCCGACCACTAGTTTCCCAATGGTCTGGATTGACCAGTCCGAAGTCCTCACTAAATCATTCAATCGGTAGTAGCGACGGGCGGTGTGTACAAAGGGCAGGGACGTAATCAACGCAAGCTAATGACTCACGCTTACTGGGAATTCCTCGTTCATGGGCAATAATTACAATGCCCAATCCCCATCACGAAATGGGTTCAAGCGGTTACCCACTCCTTTCGGAGCAGGAAACAGTATGCACGATGACCACTTCAGTGTAGCACGCGTGCGGCCCCGGACATCTAAGGGCATCACAGACCTGTTATTGCTCTGTTTCGTGCGGCTGCGAGCGCCGCTTGTCCCTCTAAGAAGTCCTTACAGTGCTACAGCATCCTTACCCTAGCCAATTCTGTAGGCTAATAGCAGCAGAGCCCTCAACAGCCGAAACCATCAAGAGATACTACCACCCACAGGTTGACTAAGGGGGAGTACTGCAGTGTAAACTGCAAGTCTATTTAGTAGGCTAGAGTCTCGTTCGTTATCGGAATTAACCAGACAAATCACTCCACCAACTAAGAACGGCCATGCACCACCACCCACTGAATCAAGAAAGAGCTCTCAATCTGTCAATCCTCTCAGTGTCCGGGCCGGGTGAGTTTTCCCGTGTTGAGTCAAATTAAGCCGCAAGCTCCACTCCTGGTGGTGCCCTTCCGTCAATTCCTTTAAGTTTCAGCTTTGCAACCATACTTCCCCCGGAACCCAAAAACTTTGGTTTCCCGGAAGCTTCCATTCGAGTCATGAAATTAGTTACTCAGAATGATCGCTGGTTGGCATCGTTTATGGTTAGAACTAGGGCGGTATCTGATCGCCTTCGAACCTCTAACTTTCGTTCTTGATTAATGAAAACATTCTTGGCAAATGCTTTCGCTGTAGTTTGTCTTGCGACGGTCCAAGAATTTCACCTCTAGCGCCGCAATACAAATGCCCCCGTCTGTCCCTCTTAATCATTACCTTGGATTCTTAAGACCAACAAAATAGAACCAAGGTCCTATTCCATTATTCCATGCAAGATCATTCAAGTTAAGGTAGTGGTACGCATCATATAGATGGTTGACCATACCGTTTTTAGGCACCTCTTTCGAGGTTTTGGACGCCTGCTTTGAGCACTCTGATTTTTTCAAGGTAAAAGTCTCGATCGCTTGAATCAACACTCGGTAAAGAGCATTGATAGCAAATATCGAGCAATTTTCTGTCTAAACACTATGAATGTAACCACCAGGAAAGAGGAATGAAGGTTCAAGCAAGCATCCGTAGACACAAGCAAGAAACCTAACATCACCATCTAACCCTTTAATCAGTGGACCCCATAGGTTCGACTGAAATCCAACTACGAGCTTTTTAACCGCAGCAACTTTAATATACGCTATTGGAGCTGGAATTACCGCGGCTGCTGGCACCAGACTTGCCCTCCAATAGATCCTCGTTAAAGGATTTAAATTGTACTCATTCCAATTACGGGGCCTCAATAGAGTCCCGTATTGTTATTTTTCGTCACTACATCCCCGTACTGGGATTGTGTAATTTGCGCGCCTGCTGCCTTCCTTAGATGTGGTAGCCGTTTCTCAGGCTCCCTCTCCGGAATCGAACCCTTTGACTTTACGGGTATTGTGATTTTCACCACATCTTTGCTCTAAAGTGAAAAAGGGATCCCCCCACCTTACAGTGAGGGGACCCCTTTAGATCATCGAGCATTTTTACATGTGCTCATCATGGTTCTTCGCGATTTTGACAACAATTTTGCCTAACGTGAAATAGGGATCCCCTCACCTTGCGGCGAGGGGACCCCTATTAGATCGTTTGAACATTTTTCCAAGTGTTCAGCTTGTCTCTCCAGCTCTTGTTTCATACATTCGCGGTTTCCCTCATCTTTTGGTTTTGATGCGGACGAACATCATGATCTAAAGGAACTCACTGCAAAGGCAGTTTACGGTTCAACTATTCACCGGAGTAAACAGTAGAACATGCACCACAGCCACCTTTCATCAAAAATGAAAAGCCTGCTGAATTTCAGATTTTGACACGAAGTCAAAAACAGTTACTGCCCCAGTACACCATTTCACCACTGACTCTTACGAATCATGACTTGACATGGCGAGTCAATTCACGGGTTTTGTCTCAAGAATTATCATCATGGACTTATCACTTTCACCATTTATGAATCACTTTAATCTCTCTCAAATGACTAACATTGACCATGGTTCAGTGTCTCCCATGTAGGGCCTGCACCACCACCACTTTCCCTGAGGAAAGCCTGAAAATATTCAGATTTTGAACAAGTCAAAAACAGATACCGCCCCAGTAACCATTTCACTATTGATTCTTGCGAATCATGAATTGGCATCATCTTGAAGTCTTAGTCTTAGTCTTACAAGATTTATCACTTTCATCATCTTAAGAATCATGTTAGCTCTCTCAATCTAACAATCATCAATGAATCAGTGCCTGCGCAACAACCATCTGCAATTTGACGTCACCATCAAATCACCAAGTTGTTAAACGCAAGAGTTACGAACTCTTGGTCTTTAGCTGCCGACTCTGCAAAGCAACTCGCACTCAAGGGCAAGGTAATGAGTGCAAGGGGCACGATAATTTCCCCTTCTTGTCCCTAATACATATAAGCGTTCATCTGACGATGGGGCCTATGCCACTGCCAGAAACACATTCCACAGACACCATCCACGAACTGTATTGAGATTATATGCTATAGGCCCCCTTTCGGGAACACATAACTCAATACAGCCGCTTCCGGCCGGAAATATTAGGCTTATATGTATTATTTTAACGCTCCTCACGGAGTTCCACAAAACTAAGTTACGTTGGACGAAATTTTCCCATCTAGGGTTTAGGGCGGTGTGTACAACAATAGGAGTCGCAAGCGGTGTTCACTATTGCTACATGTATTTCGATATGAATGAGTCGCAAGCGGTGTCCATTCAAAAATCGGTGTTATCGACTCGTCTGACCTTACATAAGCAATCTCAAAGAGACGCTCGTGCTTAACCTTGCCAGCACATCTGACGTAGCAGTAACGAATCACTGTAAACATCAAATTTTGTTTGCCCTTTTTTATGTTGTTAATGCTAAGGACTTTTAGCAACAACAAAATGATCATACTTCAATCATTTTCGCACTACCGTATGTAAACCCTATCTGAGCACCAACTCTCAAATAGGGTATTAGTTTCTCCCGCTTTTGTCATTTGTCAACTCATTAAGCCATACATTGTAAGTCACCAATAGACCCTCTACTCATTATCATGAACATGTACAACCCTTCGATACCAACCAGATCGAAAGGGTTATTTCTACGGGAAGTCCACCACACTTCCCAACTCTTGTAACTAAACCCACGTCCCTAGTTCATCTGTCGTACCATCGAGTGATACAGGTGAATCCCTAGGGACTCTCAAGTCAACTTTTCCTTAAAAACAAATAAAGTAATTTTGAAACCGGAATCGAACCCTAATTCCCCGTTACCCGTTACAACCATGGTAGGCGCATAACCTACCATCGACAGTTGATAAGGCAGTTGCTTGAGGGATACATCGTCGGCTCAGAGGCCATACGATTTGCTCAGTTATTCAGAGTCATCACAAGAAATGCAACCGAAGTTGCTAAGATCCCCACTGCTAGTCCTTAGACAGCGACCGAAATCACTGAACAGGGTTCTAGGTGAATAAGAATCATTGGTCTTGTACTAATAAACACTTAGTATTCGCCAGCTAAAGACCCAGTAATGATCAGAAGCCTATTGGG